CAATCGAACCTGATAAAAAGTACACCTGGCTGTTATTGAAACATGGGAAAGTGTTTAGATATACAGCTGTAGAAACACCTTCCAACTGTTTATTTGCACCTTCTGAGACAGTGTTACCTTTTCCAGAATATAAACTTTTATTATTGCTCTGGAATTGACCCTCCCCAGTCACACCCTTGGTTTATCTGGACTCAATTTCAGTTTATTATACTTTTTTGATGCTTAATAACTGGGTATAACCTACCTATATAACCGTAGTCCAACGCACGAGCTATTTGCAACCATAGCAAGACTTCTTCAAACTTCTTCAACCATGGGGCTTTTGCTGCCCCATGAGTGTGAAGGAGTAAGAGAGATAACTGTCGATTTTCCAGCAAGAGATAAGTTACTGCAATAAGTTAAAAAATCCTAGGACATTATCATGTACCCTCTCCAGAAAAAAATATGGCCTACTGGAGTAGTCTCATCACAACTAAGGGATATTATAGTGAGACACATCTGCACAGTTTAGCTGATTCGGCCATTGTGTTCCAATAGAACATGGATCCAGAATCCTTTAGCATTCTCAATGATTAGGAATGTCCAATCATGCTGATTCACATAACTCTATCACATCCACTTGGCTCCTTATACCAAGTAGGGTACCCAAACAAAGCAGAAATCTCCATCAGTGGTTTATTTAGAATTACAGGTAGTCCTCCACTTACAACAGTTCACTTAGTGAGTGTTCAAAGTTACAGCGGCACTGAAAAAAGTGACTTATGACCGTTTTTCACACTTACGGCCGTTGCAGCATCCCCATGGTCATGTGATCAAAATTCAGGTGCTTGACAACTGATTCACATTTATGACGATTACAGTGTCCTGGGATCAGGTGATCACATTTTGCAACCTTCTGTCAAGCCAAGTCAATGGGGAAACCAGATTCACTTAACAACCATGTTACTAATTTAACTTAACAAATGTGGCAAGAAGTCGTAAAATGGGGCAAAACTCACTTAACAAATTTCCCACTTAACATAATTTTCGGGCTCAATTGTGGTCGTAAGTCAAGGACTAGCTGTACATATATTTATCTTATTCTGCACTGCACCATCACAATCCTGTCTTCAGAGTTCCCCATAGATAATGAAAACACCAGAAAGAAACATCCCAGGAGCCAAACGAATTACTTCCAGCCCAGCAATGGTGTCAAGCCAGCAGTGGATTGTCTTCACAGGCTAGGAAAGATGTAGAAGAGTTGAATATGCAGCTATGTAAAAGCTCAAATCTTTATTAAGAAGAAATCAGGTCTGATCAAGGCCAACTGGGTTTGGGCAGGGGCGGAGACTTCAGGTCTCTAGGCATAGTCCAGATCTTCCAACAACCACACCTCGCTGCAATTTGTCCTGACTTCCTAATTTGTTTATACTTTGGATGATGTTTTCATGTCAGTTTGCTTTTGTGTTCTAAACAGGGTCTCATGGGTTCATGTAGACAGATTTAGGCTAATACGTTTGTGTAGCAATAATGTAGATCATGAACTACCCTCTATCTGGCAAGGGCACGTACATGAAAAGCTGCAAGATGGTGGTCATATCTGAATGATCAAAGCCTCCTTCCTTCTGTACTCACATGAATGTTGCACACATGTAAAGAGGTAGGGCTTCAATTATACAGCCATGGTCGCCATCTTGATTTTTTTTTGACATCAACAGACATTTTTGGCAATCACTAATCTTTAATACAGTGTCTTTAATACAGAGTCTTTAATACAGAGTCTTTAATACAGAGTCTTAAATTATTGACTAAATTTGAGAAACGGCAGAAAGTAAGACTGCAGAAAGTCCTTGTGACTCTTTTACATATAGTTATTTAAATATAACAATCTTCATTCTTTTGCATAACTTTTCTGTATAACTGCCGTTTATTTTTTTTCCCACCGCTATGAGATGAATTCTAGATAAACATTAAGAAAATGAATCTTGCTATATATTCTTTTAAAAAATTACTTCCAGGTACACGTGTCTAGAACTGCAGTCTTTAAGTTATTTGTTTACACATGCTTTGCTGGAACCAAGCCTTAGGAGATTTGCATGGTGCTTATACCCACCAAAAAGGAAAGTGGGAATCTGTTGGAAAAGAAGCATACAGTAAATCCAAAGGTGAGTTGATTTACTGCTGGGTACGTGCCAGCTGTGGCATGAGTCAGATGTACCCAAGGAAGCACATGTTCACACTTGTGGCAGCTCTCCAAGCTGCAGGGCAAAGAAAGAAGGGAGAGCTGAGTAATTCCTTTCTACTAACAAAATAAAATGCAACTCCTGGAAGGAAGTTGTAAAAAAGAGGAGTACAGAAGACATCTGTAGTTCAGACACATTCATGTCAATCCCAAAGAGCATTGTCACTTCTACTTCATTCTTCCCAGTTTTGCTTTTATTTCACATAAAATGGGATAGCAGATTGTTTCAACTTTGCTCATGAAACAAAATATAGGAATTCCTTGAAGGCTGCCTGCGTTATGATGATTAAATAATAGAAGTTTGCAGCTATTTCCTTGAATTTTTCTTTTACATCTAACAACACATGTATGGGACTGACTTCTGAACTGGAAATCACTGGTTTTAAGTGAGTTGTTCTCTGTGTTGCCTTAACCACGTTTAGCTATCCTGAGAATAATAATACTGAATGACCTTACAAGACCGCTTGAAGTGTAAGAAGGCAATGAAAGAAAATACACTAAAAACTACAAGATGATAATGGAAAAAATTGCTAAAAACTCTACACTGCTACGAAAGTGCTGCCTCCCATTCTCCAAACCCCCAACTTTCAAATGCACATAAACTGAACCACATAATTGCTGTTGGTTTAGTACTCCCTTGGGGTAATAGCATGGTCTACATCTGAAGGTAGAACAGGTATCATTTCAGTTCTGCTTCTTCTGCTTTCCCCAGTGCAAAATAGATTTTAAGCACAAATATTGGACCAATGCTCTTCAAATACCCCTTCCCTTTTGATTCCAAATTCTCAAGACATACTGGTGTAATGACTGTGGTGGCTGACTTTGGAGCAGTCATTCTAATGGGCAACAATCTGGTTTCTTTGGCAGGTGATTTTCTTTTTTTTTTTACAGGTTGGGCTTTTTATAATTTGCACAAGAACAAGCCAGACAGAGTGGATTTTGGTCTGTGTCTCCTGAATTGCTGGCACTCCCAATTTTGGATTCACTTTCTGCATGAAGAGCCTTGTCCTGCCCTTGCATCTGCAGCAAAACAGGAAGTTATGGGCAGAAATACCCAAGGCAGAGTGCTTAGCCCCACTCTCGGTTGGTACTGCAAGATAAAAGATGCATAAAATGGAAATGTTTTCCCTTCATTCTTCAAAGATACATTCAGAATGGGCATGCTAAGTCTCCAGTTTTTTTTGAATCTGAGAAACTACCCTTGGTTGTTTTGCCCTTTGGCAATACTGTGACTTTATGTTCTTTGGTTGTGGGGGGGGGGATAGAATTGTAAATGTCCCCTTTTGTTGCAAGACCACCCCTACCCCACCAAACATCCCTTGCGATCAGGAATCAAGAATGCACGGCACAGTGGGCAGATCGGTTCTTATTGTTGTCTTCCAAAGCCCGGCTGCACAGCCCCCTTTGAGAGTCACCTTGATGTAAATCACAGCAACTTTCAACCAGGTAGGACTTTCCAGATTGTTTGAACCGCAGAACAAGCGGAGCTTTTCAAACGAACAGTTCCGTTCGGACATTTTGATTTTTCTTCCCATCCGTTTGCCCCGCTTCCTGAAGTCCCAGCCCAATCAGTCCCAGCTAACAGGTGGCTGGTGGTTGTTCTTTTTTTTTTTTCCCCCACACACCCGTTTTCTTAACTTGTTCTAAGTAAAAACAGCTGCGCGCGGCCACCCGCTGATCAAACTACAACCGATTTCGGGTGGCAGAGGAAGAGATCAGCGCAGCACACCGGCGGAAGTGAGCCCGGTTCGCAGCCAACCTCCTGCTGCACTCCACACCTCCATCCTCTGGTGCGGCAGTACAACAAGGACACCGTTTGCAAGCTTTCAGGCACAAACTTCAAAACCTGCGCCTCCAGCTACGTTGCCCCGCAACAAGCCCGGGCGGAGCAGCGTTCAGACCCCCATCCCCACCCGACGCCCCTCTCTCGCCACGGAGGGACGAGACAGCCCCCCCCCCCCAAAAAAAGCGACCGCCTCGAGCGATCATCTGCCCCGAGGGAACAAAACTCACGAAATTCTTCCCGCCGGATCCCCACCTGCAGGGCTTGCGCGCGCTTTCCCAGCAGTTGTTGTTTTTATTTATTTAAATTGTTCATCCCACTTTAAAAAAGCGGCAGTCGACACTTCCACCGGTCAATCAAGTGACCCCGATCCTGCAAAGAGCAGATCGAAAGCACCCGGTGGATCGAGAGCCCCGGAGAGCTACACACACCTCCCCCCCCCCCAAGCGAGTCCACAGCGCCGCATGGCTGGACAGGCCGATTCCACCTCCCTCCCCGGCTGCCCCGATCCTTTCCCAGCAACCGAGGCGAAATTCCTCTCAGCCGCGCCCGGGAGAAGGACAACTTACAGCCTCTTGTTCGGGTTCAGCTGCTGATGCATGGCGAGAGAAAATCCGAAAAAGCTGCCGGGTTCGCCGTCCCATTTGACTACGTTCTCCGTGTCCAGGTTGAAAGCGCGGGCGATCCCAGCCCAGAGGCACAGGTAGAAAAGCGAAAGCATTTTGCCTCCCGAAGAGCCAGTGCCCGCCGATCCTGTCGCCGCCGCCGCTGCTGCTCCGCCCGCCGGAATCCCCAGGAAAGCCAGTCTCGGGGGGCGCCCCTCGCCCTGCTGGCCACTGATCGGCGCCGCTCCCCTTGCGGCCGCTCTGAATGGGCTCGTTGTTCTCTCCAGAGATTTGCTCGGGCTTTACACCAAGTGACGAACAACAAGCCAGGAGCCCCGCCCCGTCTCTCCCCAACCAGGCAGGAGCGCCTCGCCTTGCCCTACCCTACCTTGCCCTGCCCAGCCTGCCAGCCGCCTGTTGCCCAGAAAAAGGACTCGCACCAACTATAAAGCGCCCAGGGCCAGAGGTTTTTAGTTTGGGAGGAGCAGCAGCGTTTACGTGAGGTCAGAACGTGTGAAGGCCACCACTGTGATTAATGGAGCCTTGCCTATCCGGATATCTTTTGGGTTGGTCAGTTCTTAGGGCTGGCACCGGATTTGTGGGCGATTGAGTGCCACCTCTGCCTCAGGCAAGCAAAATTGGAACGGATGTATCCCAGAACTTCTTCAGATATCCCTTTTAAGAACTGAAATGGGCGAAGATGCTTTTTGCAGGTGAGAATTCATAAGCTGTTCAGGTTCCCCTGTGAACATTCAACCCCATGAAATCTCAAACCTTTTAATCAAGGACTCTGGGCCTGAAAAAGTGGCCGGTTCTTAAGCTTCCAATTAGAGTTACGGTGGTGATATCTCTTACTGCTGGTAAGGGTTTGTATCCTTTATCTGAATTGCAATGTTGGAAACATCACAAAAGGGTTCTCAGAATGTTTATTCAAGATATCATTTGAGCAGGTGGCCATGAATATGGAATCTGGGGAAAAAAATGAAAGGGCCCGGCAAATATTGTTAGATATGGAAAGGCTGAGAATGCTCTCAGACCTTAAACACTTCAAGTGCTCTTCAGATAGCTGAAGTGCCCACAGAACAGAAATATTTGTTCTATGCTGGATTAGGTTTCATTAGAGGTTCAGCACATTAGGAACAGTTTCTTGATGGTAAAGACAGTGTGACCGTGGAACCATAAACCAAATGTGATTTAAAGAAAATGTGATTGGATTAAAGATGCATTGAATTGCCTAGTCGCGATCACACTGGAAGAAAAAAAGTGGGGAAGTGGCTAATTAATTTCTAATCAGATCCTTATGTTCATTAATTCTTGAAGCGGTGGATAAATTAGTACAATGCTAGTTTTATTCCTATGTAGTTATCTTTCAAAGTATTGATACAAACATTACCAATTAGAAGAGATGTGGGATTGCAGGATCCAATCTGGGTCAGTCACCAGAACCAAAGGTTTAGTCTTCTGAGCTTTCAGACTTATGCTGGAGCCCATCTTCAGGGAACTTCTCTCTAGCGGAGTATGTGCTTTGGGATATCACACACTGCTAGAGAGAAGTTCCCTAAGGATGGGCTCCAGCACAAGTCCGAAAGCTTGGAAGACTAAACCTGTGGTCCCGGTGACCGACAAAGATCGGATCCTGCAACATTATCTTGAGATAGCAATAGCACTTAGACTTATATACTGCTTCACAGTACTTTACAGCCCTCTCTAAGCAGTTTACAAAGTCAGCATACTGCCCCCAACAATCTGGATCCTCATTTTATCAATCTTGGAAGGATGGAAGGCTTGAGTCAACCTGGAGCGGGTCAGGATCGAACCCCTGGCAGTGAACTGAATTTTTTTATTTTTATTTTATTTTATTTCAAATTTATATACCGGCCTTCTCCCTGAGGACTCAGGGCAGTGTACAGTCAAAATTAAGAACATAAAATACAAATATTAAAAACAATTAAAATATATATAAATTTGGCCCAAAAATTAAAAATCACAAACCAATTAAAACATTTAAAATTTCTTCTTAAGCCAGCCCGGCTTGCTGGAAAAAATGGGTTTTAAGGGCACAACTGAAGGCGCTGAGGTCTTTTTTTTAAATTTGATTTATATGCCGCCCTTCTCCGGAGACTCAGGGCGGCTTACAATGTGCTCAGCAATAGCCTTCATCCTTTTGTATATTTATACAAAGTCAGCTTATTGCCCCCACAACTGGGTCCTCAATTTACCTACCTTAGAAAGGATGGAAGGCTGAGTCAACCTTGAGCCTTGGCGAGATTCGAACCTGCAGTAATTGCAGGCAGCTGGTCTTAATAACCAGCTTAATAACAGGGTGCCTTAGACCACTGTACTACCAAGGCTCTGTCTTGGATTCTCCTTATCTCTGGGGGCAACTGATTTGCCTGCAGTACTGCATTCTAACCACTATCCCACCACTGCTCATACATGGGATATGTATAATTCTCCTTCATTCATGAGAGGTAGGATTCTTGCATTCTGTTGCTTTAATCCACATTACCAAAAGCTGTTCATTGACTTTGGAAAAGACATCTTAATAAGATACTTTTCAAATGAATAGCTCCTAATATAGCCCATCCAAAGGTGTATGTTCACCCAAAAGGAAAACTTACTTGTTTCATCAAATGATTTACTTTTAAAGGTGAAGTTTGTTATTACCTTAAACATGGAAATGTAGATAGAAAAGGGGTTTTATATAAATAAATTAAATAAACTAATAAATAAATAAATACATACATACATACATACATACATACATACATACATACCTGTTAAAACCATAAACATTAAAAACCTGGCATCAAAGTTAAACTTCCAAACATTCAGCCGTTCATTAAATCCTCTCATTCACTTCACCGTATCCCAGCACTCTAATATTCCATATTCTAAAACAGGAATACTATTACAATCACAGTCGCCTTTCTGTCAGGTAAATACAGTACAGGTAGTCCTCAACTTACAACAGTTCATTTAGTGACTGTTCAAAGTTACAATGCCATTGGAAAAAATGACAACCATTTTTCACATTTACAATTGCAGCATCCCCATGGTCATGTGATCAAAATTCCAATACTTCACAACTGACTCATACTTATGACGGTTGCATGTGATCCCCTTTCGTGACCTTCTGCCGAGTAAAGTCAACGGGGAAGCCAGAGTCACTTAGCAACCGTGTGACTAACTTAAGAACTGCTGTGATTCACTTAACAATTGTGGCAAAAAAGATTGTAAAATGGGGAAAAGTCACTTAACAAATGTCTCACTTAGCAACAGAAATGTTGGGCTCAGTTGAGGTCATAAGTCGACCTCATCTTTCTGTTATTAATGGGTTTTATTTTGCAGTAAGCTAGTAAAACAGATGAATGAAGTAGGATGAAAACATGGGATTACTAATAGGCAACACTTTTTTCTCCATCCAACCCCATTAAAATGTGACAGAGATCAGATGGTTCTACTGTTAACTATCAAGGCATTATTGTGTTCCTGCTCTGGATTTGTATTCTTATGATTCTGCTTTTTGACAGACAACGAACAATTAGATTTAAATAAAAGAACGGAGTAGCACAATCTTTTCAGATGCAGATTTCAAATAATTTGAAATACTGTGATTTAATAAATGAATTTTAGTACATAGTCATATGAATTTTAGTAGACAATATTGTATGAAGCTTTATTTATTATAGTTATTTATTTATCTGGCATGTCATCCTCTTCCCCATCAGATGCTATAGCAATAGCAATAGCACAGACTTATATACCACTTCATAGTGCTTTTAAGCCCTCTCTAAGTGGTTTACAGAGTCAGCATGTTGCCCCCAACAATCTGAGTCCTCATTTTACCCACCTCGGAAGGATGGAAGGATGAGTCAACCTTGAGCCAGTGAGATTTGAACTGCCGAACTGCAGCTAGCAGTCAGCTGAAGTAGCCTGCAGTACTCCACTCTAACCACTGCGCCACCTCGATTCTTGCTATGCTGAATGCTATTGTTATTTCCAGGTTTTCCTGGATGGGAGGGAAAGGTGTTTGCAAGCGGAGGGATGGGGGAGAAGCTAAAGGCCCTGAGTATATTCATTCATTTCAAAGTTGCTTTTTGCAACTTTGGTAAGGGGGAAAATAAAAACCTGTTAAAATATTATAAGGCAAACACAATATGCTCCTGTTTAATTTATTCAGAATAATAGCTTGATTCATTAGGGCCTCATTTCCAGATGGGTGACAAATATAAATCAGTATGATCTAATGACTATGAGGTCAAACTAGGTTTGAAGAAAGTCTCCCCTCAGCCATGGAAGATCATTGGGTGACTTGAGCCCAGTTCTCGCAGGGTTGTTGTCAATCTATGTGTGTTGTCTTGAGTTCCTGTATTCTCCCAACCAGAATGTCAGTAACATGTAACATGGCTTTTTCTGCATTGGCATCACTCAGATGTAACTCCAACCAACAAGAGACCTGCCAAGTACAAACAGAATGGTTATTAAAAAAAAAAAATTCCATTCCACATCATCTTTTGGCAAACTCATCCAACTGGTGAACCAGCAGTCAAATTTTCAAGCTGAAGAAAAAATATTTCGCAGAATTCACGATCAAAAAGGAAAGCTCTACTGATTGAAAATTGGCTTCTTTTGTAGTTCTGTGTATTCTTTTTATGTTTTTGAATTCCGTTAACTGTGAAAGAAAAGGAAAAAAATAACATGACATTGGAGTCATGGAATCCCATCAAGTTCTTCTGGAACCCAGGTTTTCCTGGAACGTAGTTTGAAAATGCCTGACTTATCAGTGGCTGCTGCTCTTTTTTTTCTACGTATTAAAATGTGTTTAAAACGTATTTAGTACGTTTAATAAAACGTATTAAATTTCTACTGTTTTAAAAATGTGTGTCTCCAATTACATGGTTATTATATGTTAATTACCGGGAACTGTCTTTGGAAAGAAATGGTAGATATATTTTTTTAAAAAAAGGAGGAGGAGGATTCTGAAGAACTTACTGCCAAGCTGGTTTCTTAGCCAGAGGAAAGCTGCTGGGCTCTGCTGCCAACATGCGCACTGCTCTTGCTGAATTTTCAGCTGCCTTTTTATTAAAGGCATGTGGGCCCCCTGCCAAACGCATTGCAAGACGTGGGCCTGCTGGGCCCACATATTGAGCCACAGCAGTGCCAGCTATGCTCTCTTCATCAATGTAACAATTCTTTATCTAATGATAGGGCTGAGCTTGAAATTGTCTTTTTTTTTTTTTTGAAGCTGCGGAAAGGTAGACAGGAAGTTAGAGCCAAGTGAGGCTCTTCAATCTGTCTTCTAGAGAGATTTGAAGGGCCTCTTTCCTTGCCAAGTCTACATTCGTTACAAGGACAAAACACAAAATTGGCACATTGATTTGGCCTAAAGTACAGCATGTTCCATATTGGTAAATAGATAAAGATGCAGCTGTGTATTGCAAGCTGCTGGTGAAAGACATTCTTAAAACCCGAATATGTCTTGTGCCAGCACTGAAAATAATAAGCACCCTTAGAATAAAAGTTGATGAAATCAATGGCTGCATCTTGAATACGATGGCTGCAAGCTACCCATCAAGCTTTTTAGAAAGAGACTTTAAAACTACGGTAGAAATGGAACAGGGGGGATTAAACAGTCATTGTACCATTTTGTGAGGTTGTCCATGTTACATTGTTTTATTAGATTTATATGGCTGCCCATCTCAAATACATGGCTCTAAGTGGCTTAATAGTAATAAAATGATAAAAACAAACAAACTTCTTTCCTTTGTGCTGTATTTCTTCCAGATATTTTGCAAAGCAACCCAAAGGAAGTGTACATATAATTGCACTAGCTCATCAAGGCTGGCTTACGTCTCTCTTAAAAGAAGCCTATTGTGTCTTAGAGCCTGCCTACGATTCCAGTATCCTTCCCATCATTTTTCATATTAGCCATTTTGGAAGTTTTGTTTTGAATAATATTGGTAGCTGCCAAAGAGGTTTTGTAAGCTACCGTTAAAGCCCAGCCCTACTTAATGATTCAGTGATTCATCTGATTCCTTTTATGAAACGTTCCAGATTTAGTCATACAGCTGATCTGGCATCTGCAACATGACAGGCAGGGGCACTGCCAGAGGACTGCAGGGGTAGGCATGCAAAGGAAGGCGTTGATGGCTGGGGAGGAGCCCACATAACATTTTTTGGGAAAGGAGAGTGTGATGATACAAAGAGGGCAGGGCCCTGTCATCACATCAGAGTCCTTCTGATTTTTCTTGGGCTTTGGAGATATTTCTCTGTACTCTTAATTACTTTTTCAGTTCCTTGCCTCAGATTGGCAGAATGCAGTGCTACTATCCGCTTTCTGGCCAGGAGCTTCCAATGGCAGAGAGACATTTGAGTTAGACATATCATGCGCAACAGAACAGCATTGACGTATTTTATTGTTGTTCAGTTGTCAAAATTACATCCTGGTTTTCCTGTGTGAGCTTAAGGCATAATACATAGCATTCCCTCCTCTGATTTACATTTACATACACACACACACACACACACACACACACACACACAATCCCTCTGAGATTGTTCAGGGTCAGAATAGTGACTGACTTCAGATCAACTTCTCTGGTCAACGCTGGATTTGAGCTTAGTCTCCTTGAACCTAAAACCACCCTTCTGTCCTTGAGGACAAGGGCTGTATAAAAAATATGCTTCCCTTTAAAAAAAAAAAAAGTAAAACTCAAACTAGCATAAAGAATTACTTAGTTTGAAGAATATTCAGAAGCTACGCTTAAAAATAGAGCCAACATATTCCTTTCAAGAAGAGATTGGACTGCCATTTGTCAGAAATGGTGTAGGGTCTCATGCTTGGACGGGGGGTTGGACTAGATGACCTATAAGGTCCCTTGCAACTCTGTTAATCTGTAAATCTCTCTCAGTCCTTTTCTGAAAGCTACAATAACAACCATCCGTGTCTTCTCTGAGGCAGAAGAACATGGAAGGTTTTTCCAGGCAGTTCCTCCAGGCGGTCTATAATGAAGCAAATCAAGACAGCTTGCCCACATGTTTGGAGGCCTTTAAGGAAAAGAGATGGTCTGGGGGGGGGGGGCAAGGTTTTTCTGTCCAGCTGAAAAAAAGAGAAACCAGAGAAGAATTACGCGTTTACTGAAAGGGACTGGTTTTACATCTTCGTGATTAGATCAGTTTTAAACCATCCTCTGGTCTGTGTTGGGGAACTGAGACTATATTCAGGCTTGGCTGCACGCGGAAAAGCTAAATTTTGAACTGCCATGAGCCAGATATTGATGAAAACCTCTCTCTCTCTCTCTCTCTCTCTCTCTCTCTCTCTCTCTCTCTCGGTGTGTGTGTGCGTGTGTGTGTGTGTGAAGTCCAACAGAAGAGCTTGAGCATACGCTGAATAGGCGGCATTCAACTTCCACAATGCTGCTGACTCAGGCCCTCCTTTCAGAGGGAAAGGCTAGGCCTGGAAGTTGCCTTGGGCGGCTGGGAGACGCACACTGACTGCAGCTATTCTCTCTTGCTAGGAATGGCTGCAGACCTCCTTCTCTGGGTTCCTTCCAGACTGATTTCTAAGGAAGCCCAAACAATCAGGTGGATCCTTCTCTCACTCATTCACCCAGCTCAAAAGATGAGAGCTGACAGGGCAACAAGCCCTTCTCAATTGCTTTTCCCTGAAATTTGATTTTACAACTTAAACACTCTCCTCTTGCAAGTTACACAACAGCTGCCTGAATGTACTCTGTGGTTCTCCTCCCTGCTTCAAAATGAGAAAAGAAAATAACCTGAGGGCGATTCCTCAAGGTAACCATCCTTCAGTGCGCGCTCCTGAATTTCACATCATCACCCCCTTATTAGAGAGGAGCCTGAAGCCACAGGAGCAGCAACTGCCTCCTTCCCTGGAGAAGAAGCTGCTTCTTTTCTTACATGTAGTAACTCCAGCAAGATTATGATATGCACAATGATGGAAGTAGAATGAAATCCTCCATCCTTGGTGGAAGGTTGGATTGTGAAGATGTTAGACTTTACAGAAATTGCAAAACTGACCTGTTTGGTTAGGGAGGGGAAACATGTTTTTGAAAGAATGGAAACCTTATATGGACTTTTTGCTGAAAGGTATTAATAAAACAATGATTTATGGATTTGAAGATAAAAATAAACTTGGATTAAATGAGGGGCTGAAGGTGTTTAGATAGTATATAGGAGGAAGGAGGGATTATAAGATTGTAACAATCTCTTGAAAAGAAGATTGGAAATCTTATTATTTTATTTTTTAGCTTTAGTTCTTTTCCCTTTCATTTCTTTCATTTTTTTTTTTGCTTTTTCTCTTTTTCTTTCTTTGCTTTTTTTCATTTTGTCTTAGTGCATGGAAAAATTCCTAATAAACAGAATAACAGAGTTGGAAAGACCTTGGAGGTTTTCTAATCCAACCCTCTGCTCAAGCAGGAGACCCTGGACCATTTCAGACCAAATAATTCTTAATAAAAGAAGCTGCTCTTCTGAAACAAATCAGAAGCAACCTATCAGCAGAACACAAAGCATTACAGCATGAGCTGAGGGCAGATTTCACCTACCCACTCGTCAAAGTAGCAAAATTCATTGGAGATGTAAAAACATTTCCTTGAAGTCAAGTTTGGTCTTGATATTATATGCAGGTTTCTTGACCGCAGTGCAGAAACATTTTGCAACTTCTTTTTCCAGATTTTTTTCCCCTTTTTGATTTCCCAGTGTAGCTGACAGCTCTGTCCCATTCAAATACAACTGGACTTGATCCTGCTTAGCTATCACCCAACCCTAGAGAAACCTACCATGTGTGGAGACATCATTCCTTCACAGGGGATAAAAGGGGGGGATTGTCCACTACAGTGCCTGATTGGTCAATAGATTCTTTCAGGATTCAGTGACTTAGACCATTCCGTTGCTCTTCTTTCTCCATGACTGCTTCATGAGCAGAAATAATGTCCCCCCTCCCAATACCACTAAGGGAGGGGGAAGTATATGTCTGTGAATCTTTACAAGAAGTTACTTGCTTGCTGAGAGTTACTAAGGCAAAACACAAAAGATTGATTAAGGAGAAGGCTGACAGCCAGCGCTGTTAAGGGTTATCAAGATGTAGGATCACTTATCTGATGGCAGGAAGGAGAGGGTTGGCCGGGGTCAGCCTGTCGTTGCACTGTCTCATTTACGCCACTAAATAGCCTGTGCTATGTTCTGTTTTCCTTTCAGCTGAATTCAAGGTTTTTGTGCAATGTGTGATATCCTTTCCATTTCCAGCTAGAATTCAGAACAGGGAGCCTTTTTAAAAAGGCCCACTTTACCCTGTGTAGGGATGCGGTGGTTCAGTGGCTAAGACCCTGAGCTGGTCGATCGAAAGGTTGGCAGTTCAGTGGTTCGAATCCCTAGTGCCGCATAACGGGATGAGCTCCCATTACTTGTCCCAGCTTCTGCCAACCTAGCAGTTTAAAAGCACGTAAAAAATGCAAGTAGAAAAATTGGGACCACCTTTGGTGGGAAGATAGCAGCGTTGCGTGCACCTTTGGCGTTTAGTCATGCCGGTCACATGACCACCGAGACATCTTTGGACAGTGCTGGCTCTTCGGCTTTGAAATGGAGATGAGCACCGCCCTTTAGAATCGGGAACGACTAGCACATATGTGCGAGGGGAACCTTTACCTTTACCTTTACCCTGTAACGTTTAACCCAGCCATTCTGATTTTTAGCACAGATGGGCAAACCTTTGCCTGGAGACCCACTGGCTGGACCGTTTGTGCCTCCTCCCATGCCAAAAAACATGCAGCTGGCATTGGGGGACAATATGGCTAAATTTTAGTTGCATAATTTGCAAGAAAGTTGTTTTTAAAGATAGAAGTCTCTCCCTGCCAGTCCCACCCCTAAAACCTTCCCAAAACATAGAAAAGAGGACCAAAAAAAATAGACACATCCAAGAATCTTTTAGAAGGCCTTGAGGGTGAAATGGAATCCAAGCTCCTCAGAATTACAGGATACAGCACCCCCTTGTAGAGGAGAGGCTCCATTTAACACATATGCTGTAGCTTACGGAGAGATATGGGCGTTTTGGTTATAAACTCCTGTGTAAACTATAAGTAGGATTTTGATTGCCCTCTGCCTGAAAGTTTGCAGAGCTGCTATAAATCGATGTACAGCAGGCAAAAAAAAAAATTATGTCCTTTCAAATATTGCTGGATTGCAATTCAGTGTCACCAAGCTGTCAAAGCTGACAGAAGTTGAGAAAAAAAAAATTAGAAGGGCAACAAATTCCCCCTCACTGACATAGACTTTGACTCTGTATGAGAGCGAAAACTGTTTGCATGATGAAAACCAGTAGTAAAGGTAACTAGAACCCACCCCTGGTATAGTGCCTCACCTATAGTGATGGACCACATCAAGTTATAAGTTGTTCTTACAACTTTAGCTTTATTGAAAATGACAGAGAACTCGGCTCCATTTTGCTTCTTCTCATGCTAGCATAGGTGTTACAGACTGACAAATCTCCATCAAGGTAGAAAGCAAACACCCAGCACATGCTAAGTTGGAGACTGGTGAATAATGTCCTAAACTATCTGCAGGGCACAAATACATAGTTTCTCCGGGCAAGCAAACCTCTGCATAATTGCCCTTAGTTACCAGGCTGCAGGGAGCTCCATCAGCACAGGCATTGCTGCTACATGAAAAGAGAGCTTGGATCTTTTTCACATTTTTACAATTACATATAGCTGGGTTTTAGCACAGGAAACCTAAGAACA